AGATAAAGGACACTTAACCTGTACCCTACAACATTTATTTCCCTAAAGCATTTTAAAATAAATATATAACATTTATTAAAGGAAACAAAAACATCCTAAAAATGAAAGTGAATACAGAATGTTATTAATGGATGTTAAATCAGAAAGTTTTGACATGAAATAAACATTGAGGGGCTAGCCTCGATGACTTTGCTAGCTTCTTTTTCAAAATAAAAAATAAAAAGTGCTAGGGATAAAGCTTGGTGGTACAGCAACCCCCGGTTCAATCTGTAGTAACAGAAAACAAACAAAAACATTGGGAAGAAGCATACAGTATACCTTAATACTTTTAAAGAATCCCATCACTTTAGGAAAATATCCAGGGCTGGGGGTATAGCTCATTGATAGAGTGCTTGCCTAGCAAGTTATAAGTACTTGGGTTCAATACCCATCACAAAGAAGAAAGGAAGGAAGGAAAGAATCCAAATAACTGGGGCTAGAGAAACTCTTGTATTGAAGATTTATGATAGCAATGGTTTCTTTTCTTTTTAATTTTCTTTAGTTATAGATGGACAATATACCTTTATTTTTATGTGGTACTAAGGATCGAATCCAGTGCCTCACACATGCAAGGTGAGCACTCTACCACTGAGCTGCAACCACAAGCCAGCAATGGTTTCTTTACAGCAGCAGCCAAATGATTTTTCCATAGTTTTATTGGTGCATTATAAATATACATAATGGGGGGATGAATTGTTACATATTCATATATGCATACATTTAACAATATAATTTCAGCCCTGTGATTTCTGAAAACACTTTGAAGACAATTCACTAGTAGTGGAGAACACTGATCCTAATACCTTGGGAAGTGGAGTGGTCAACCACACAAGGCATCTCAGTACTAGGAATTCATAGGGGCATATGATATTACAGTTAAGAAAGTCCTAGAGATTGTGTAGATCAACTATTCCCATTTTATACATCAAGAAACTGAAGTAAAGAATTTCAGTAACATAAAGACAGCAGCCAATCCAGATCAAGAAAAAGGACTGGGAGTGGGGGGAGGTGTTGGGGTTGTGGCTCAGTGGTAGAGTGCTTGCCTAGCATGTGTGAGGCACTGGGTTCAATTCTCAGCACTGCATATAAATAAATGAATAAAACAAACTATATATATATATATATATATATATATATATTTTTTTTTT